TTTATGTATTAAACTAATAGCCAAAAAATAATTGATATCATTAATTTCTTTCATTAAAGGGGATTTAGTAATTAAAGTTTTTCATATCACATATAAATTATAAAATTACTCATTAATATAAATATAACAGGTACTTTTTGAAACGAGTAGTATTGGCAAGTATAAGATTTTAAACACTGCCTGCTAATTCATTCTTTCAGAAAATTAATAGAAAGCTAGTTTTTTTTATTTTTTTAGTTAAAAACGTGCCAATACTTAAATTTATTTAAGCATAGAGAATTTGATAGTGGCATCTGATTGATACCGAATACAGGAACCTTTCAGTTTTAAGTTTATTGGCATCTATATGAAAGGACGTTTACACATACTCACATACGCATTTTGTTCAAATATTTAATAAATGTTTTAATTCAAAATTTACTATAAATGTATATAATTACAAAAAAGGGTGCGCGTAAGGTTCACACGCGATTGGAGTAAAACTTATTTGCCGTTGTATAAGATGGCATTTAAGTAAAAATAAATAATTTCCAATCAATAAACTTACGTTTAGGGCACGGACTAAATGTTTTAATATTTTCAAGGAACAGGGTAAAATATTCTTCTGATTCAGGCATTTTTTGTTAAATCAAGATTTGTACTACGGTGTAACTTTAAAATGTTTATTTATCTATGCCGATTTTTTTTGTTGATATCGGTACGCATATAACGACAGATCTCTATTCAAGCGACACGACGACTAATCAGAATCGACCCGTAAAGAAATGATATCATCAAGACCGAATGACGAATCATTGGCACTCGACTCTGCCGTAACGCATTTCCGTTGCATTTGTACTGATTTACTCCTTAGTCAGGCGTAAAGAAGTTTTACTTCAAAAGAAAGTGTGCGTATAATTCAGCAAAGGTGTTAAAACTGAATTTGAATTTCCAACAATGCAAGATAATGGTTTCAATTGATAATTCAAACCTTTTTATATATATTTTATTTATTTATTATATGTTGTGTATAGTTTTATATATAAGGTTGTCAAATATCTCCCTTCCGCTTTTTTGTATTATAAACCAAGAGCAAAAAAGCGGAAGGGAGATATTCGACAACCAAATATATGAAATTATAGAAAACTTAGATGTGTGTGGTCACTAATCAGATATCACTGTAAGTAGTAGGGATCTAATTGCGGTAAAATAAAATTATGACAAAATTTAGAAAAGTAGCATAAGAAGTATATAATGACTGAATTACACTGAACATAGTTCAATAATTGTTTGATATAGGTTTTGTGTTGTTATAAGGTGACCATACGTCCCGGTTTTCCGCCTTGCGTCCCGGCTTTTTCTAAAAGCAATATTTGTCCCGGTTTTAGGTGTTTTGTCCCGGATTGTCCCGGATTTTTAAAAATGTATTGATTGCTAATTTTTTTAAATATATTTCAACTAGAAAATTTGAACCAAAAAAATGTGCATATAGGTTTTAGCTTACCCTCTCCCCCCCCGCTCACACACACATTTTAATCTGTCCCGGGTTTCATGCAAAAAATATGGTCACCTTAGTTGTTACTATGTTATATATTCAAATTAGAGTTTTACGCATTGTCCCTACCATACATTAATGTAAGATGCCAAATTTTTTAATTGGTGAGATAAATTAAAGTTGAAACAAATTTACATCAAACAATTATTTAAGTCGACTACTGAACATTAAGCCTCTATTGGAATTGTATAGCACAAAGAAATAGCAAAAACTCATAACAATAATAACAACAGTATCCCGTTTCACACCATCAATTACATCTGTATAAAAAGAAAAGTGTCTTTAACGAATTGCGGCTAAAGCTATAATATTCTTTGTCCTTTCCCATTGCATTCGTCTGCAACCAATCATAAGTTGTTTAATGGATTTTCCAATCTGATGAACGAGCGGTGTGAGCGCTTGCCCCCTCGCATAGCTAAGGCAGACCGCGGCGGACCACGTGCGCTTCGCACGCCGACTAGCCGCGGAGGAATCCCTTCTCCGGGACAAATAATTCCGAACGTTTTGACACCGATGGACGTGCGGTTTATGTGAAAGGTATCCGCCAATTGAGGAAATGGCGTATAACTTAGAAAATGACAAACGTTGGGTTGTAAATCACTTTGTTGCAAAAATAGTATCTAATAAAACCTATAGTTGTAAGAATTTTGATTGTAGCGATTTTCACTTTGTTAGACATTTATGTCGATTTTATGTACAAACCCTTCTCGGCTCAGTTTTATTTTATATCAAATTGTTATTTATAGCGAATAGAATATACCTACAAGATCCACTTGCATATTTAACTACCCGTAGGGTAAGTTAAAGTACTCGCAATAAAATCAAAAATGTTTTATTGTATATATCTTCACGTTTCAAAAGTTTCTGAACATATAGGCATATCATAGAAAAAACTTTAAAATAGTTACTCAGCGCGATTGCATTGTAAATAAAGTTCTAAATTCTCAAAAAAAAATCAAAATAGAAAAAAAATCTATTTTTTTCGAAAATTTCGAAATTCTCAAAAATCGATTTTTTTCAAAGTCTTCAAATAATCTAAAGCTAAACATATTGGCATATCTTAGAAAAAACTTTAAAACAGCGACGCAGCGCGATTGCTTTGAACATATATGTCAAAATAGAAAAAAATATACTTTTTTGAGAAATTTCTAAATTCTCAAAACTCTAATTTTCTCAAAATCTTTAAATAATCTAAAGCTGAACATTGGCATATCTTAGAAAAAACTTTGAAATGCTACGCATCGCGATTGCTTTGAACATAAGTTCTAAATTTTCAAAATAGGAAAAAAACTAATTTTGCCAAAAATTTCAAAATTCTCAAAAATCTATTTTTTTTCAAAGTCTTCAAATAATCTAAAGCTAAATTCCAGAAACTTGCCTTGAGACACGATGCCATGAACCAATAGTTATATTTATTATTAAATAATTGTAAAAATAGCAAAAAAACAATCTGGCCTCATTATGTTCAAATTTTCCATAGAGCTAAACTACCAATCATAATTACAAATTGCATATTGTTCTTTCTAAGTATAATTCAAAATACGTTGACATTAATTAACGTAGACTGTAGTTATACATTTACTAATAGCTACGCTTTCTAGAAAATGAAAGTATCAATTACCAACTAATTAATTAGTAACATTTTATTTGATTTCAATGTCATCACTTCATGACAATGGCATCTGTAGGTCGGTATGTAGATTTATTAATTCCTTTTTTCTAATCTAAATAACAGCTATAAAATAATAAATTTATTGTCGTCAGATAAAAAAATGCGCACATCTATTGTTTTAATTTGAAATAATTGAATTCAACCCTGAAAACTCTTGAATGTCAATAGTTTCAACAGTTGAAATCCTCGAATCCTAAAAACCCGAAAACACTTAATTTTCAACGACTACAAAAAGTTTGATAAATGTTTAATATTGCATTTTGATTCAAGGTTTAAAAACACAAATGACAAGTGAATTTACTTCTAAAATATCAATCTATTTTTATTTTCATTCTAAAATAATGTATATTAGAAAATGTTTATAAATCATTTCAAGTTAATCAAATTCATTTGCACTACATATGTGTTTTGCTTAGAAATAAACAGGAATTGAAAGCCAAATTGCAACATAATTGTCAAAATAAGAAGATTTTAATTATAATGTCTCAGCCCTTGTTACTACCTGATTAATTTTTAAGTTCAAAATATGAAAATGTAATATAGAAATTCGTATGATATCCACACGTAATAATGCATTGGAAAGAACTTTAAGAAGAAACAAACGTATTTTTGTCAATTTTTTGTATTACTACACAGTAAACGTTTAATATCCTCACATATATATATATATATATATATATATAATATTTATTTCTTATCGACGAATGAGCAAAATCGCGCTAATATTTTAAATCTTTCTTTCAAAATAAGATAATTCTATACAAAAATAAATAGAAGTGATAAATCAAATTACACAATAAGTTTATTATGACTTAATCTGTCAGGGTTATCAAAAATTATTGAAGATCCTTTTCGGAAATATAGTTTTACACTAGACTATAACCTTTATTATCAGCAAATTTGAAGTAGTTTAATTGAAGTAGTAAATTTTCATTGCAAATGATATACAGTAAAAACTCGATTATCCGGACCTCAGTTATACGGATTCACGATTATCCGGACTACCGACCGCGACCAATTTATATGTATGTACATACTTACAATTCGAATTTTTGTATGATTAATGTTTCAGTTTAGTATTTCTATGTAATGTTATCTAAGATAATATGTATGTACATATGTAAGGAAGTGTTAATTTCTTAATAAACATTGATTTTCGTTGGTATGTATTTGTTATTTTTAATAAACACACAATATTATTCTTAATACATTGGATTATCCGATTTTCGATTATCCGAATGCCTATCGATAACAATTAGTCCGGTTAATCCACGTTCTACTGTATTTTGTTTGCGCATCGCGACCCACTGTGAATAGGCTTTTCCATAATGAACACGATTATCACATTGTATCCGCCATCCCTCGATTTTTCACTTTTAGAATATACTAAGTAATTAAATTAAAAAACCTAGGTATAGTATAGTCGAAAACTGAATTATATACATTTATTTCAATTTCTTCCAACGCAACGTGGATGCTCACACAACCACCGCCAGGCGCGAACTGAAGAACGTCTCTGCAAGAGCATAGCAGCGCGATCAAAAAAATATTCCTCGGGAGCTTTATGATGTATACAGCCGATCATTGGTAATCTGTTTTCCCACCTGTGGCCACTTTTACCTTTCTTTACCAAGTGATGTGTTTGTTCAGCTGATAATTGAAGGTGAATTGACCGAACCCCTTCCGGCCTCCAAGCCGCAACCGCGGTACCTCACACTGAGCCCCGAATTCTAGACACATTCGATAACGAGCGCGCGAGCTTGTTGGAAACCAAAATTTTTCGTTCGTCGCGCCTTCGCAGTTTTTATTTCAAAGGGGATAATAGATTTTTTTTATTTTGCGGCGCAATTTTTACATGTCGCCATTGAGGACAATTATTTTGGCAGTGTGCAGTGTGTTTTTCTAAATTTATGTGCAAGTTATAATATTTAAAGAAAATAGTGTAGAAAAGTAAGTTGAAAGGTTAAATAAATTTTCTTAGAAAGTTTGACTTTATCAATTTTGTGCTTCATAAATGTGCGATGTGCTTCTTTGGAAATAGTGAGATTCTCTATAACCAAACAATATTTGTTTAATAATTTCCATTACTTCTTATTGAAGACATTTAAAAAACAACATGAAAATTTCGTCTACCCTTCAATAGCTAGATTATCATCTAAAGTAATCCGAAAACAACAAAAATCTAAATAAATCCAGATCAATATTTTTAATTATCTACAACGAAACTAATTTTTCTCGAGTTGCTACGATAAGTAATCTTAATTCCTTATTAATTGAATTATAAAATTAATATAAGGACTTAAACAAAAGTTTATTTGAGATAAACAATTGTTTTATTCTGGCTAAACTTTTAGTCAAAATTATTGTCTATACTATCTCTCCATGAAGTAGGTTTATTAACTAGATTAACTTTGTTGAAACCATAACTATAATCCAAAAATAACAAAAATCCAGAATAACAATTTTAAATTAGAATTTCTTAAATTTGTTAAGATTCTCTTAATGCACAAATTACGAATATTTCTTGTTCCTAAATGTAAATTACATGCATATATATATATATATATTGCATATATGGAGCACATTTATTTGGACAGATTTCTAATTATTTTTAAATCTCGTTTTACAGCTTTTAAAGTATGGCGGCATTAATTAATTCAACGCATACAATGCTCAATGAGGCGTACGATTACTATCTTTGGACACTGTCTTTTGCAGGTGAGTAATTTGTTTATTTTAGTAAAATTAAAAAATCATATGAAAATGTAACACTATGATTTTAAATACTTAAAATATATTACAATAATGAATCATCCACAATTATTGTTGCTTCATTGCTAAATAATCAATGATGCATAAAACGATGAATTCAGTATACAAAGTTCTGTTTGAAAATTTTGTACATAAAAAATTGTAAATATAGTAATTTAAATATATCCGTTGTTACCAAAAATATTCCAAGTCAGTGAATCGAATCATTCTTTGTTGATTTTACTACTTTCTTCAAATTGATTTAAATACTGTTGCATATTTTTTTAAATTTTATTTTTATCATGCAAACATAAGTCACAAAAATAAATTTTTTATATATATATATATATATATATAAACATTTTGATAAAAAATTCTTCTTCTTCATATACATATGTATGCACACATTTGTGTGTGACTATAAAATTACCAAAAAAATATTCCAAGAGAAAGTATTTTATAATTTGTGAATTATTGTGAAAGTTTATAAGTGTATATGAGGTTAATAAATCACGAATTTGGAATCATATACCTCATATCTTATGAATTTGATAACGAAAGTATAGTTTTTTTGTGCATTTTATATACGTTTTAGACTGTTCAAAAATCTATATTTAAACTTATTATTAATATTGGGATGTTAAACCGTAAATAAAGGCGCGACATAATTTTAACAGAGTTGTTTTGAATATAATACCTAAAACAAACTGTAAAACCAAACCAGACAGAAGCTTTTTTTTTTAACTACTAACGTTTTATATAATAAAATATTTAATCTAATTACAATTATATACTTTTTGCAATTGTATTTTTCTGGCGTCATGTTGCAAAAACTTCCCAGTATTCAACACTAATAAGATACTCAAACAAGTGTATTGAAAGAGTTGAATGGTTCGCCATTCATATAAAAAACGCTGTCAATTGAATAATTGTAAATGGCTTGAATGAATCTTATACAATGTTCAATACACCGCCGGAATGACAATGAAATCCAGCCCAAGATTAACTAAAGAAATGCAAACTGCAAATTATGTTTAATATTTGAAAAGCTTGCAATAAAATAATCCAATAAAGTTGTATAAATTTCAATAAATTATATATTAATTCACTAGGATCCACTCATTGGGAACTCTAGATAATTACCTCTTTTTTTTCTTTTGCTTTCTTCTATTATTATTATTTGTTTCGATTCCTCTCGTTTGTGTCACAATAGCCCGTAAGATTAAATTGTATCTTGATTGCTATTTTAATAAATAAATAAAATATATGATTGAATATCGTCTAATAGTGTAAAAATTATATGAAAACCTCTAAGAAATCCTTAACTTCTCCTAGGACAAGTAAAAGAAATCGCGAAAAAATTTTCATTACGTTATAAAAATTACTTTTCCAAACCTCCTGAATATTATAGAATACTTTATAATTAGAAAATTAGAAAATACAGAAAAAAATTATGTGCGTGTGAGTGTGTGCAAATACAATTTTTCGTCGACGATTTCAAGAGCACAGATCAACCGATTTGAATGATTCAAAAAATGTTCGATTCCTATTGATAGGGAGAGGTGCTGTTTTTAGCAAAGGCAGGTTCATCCATTTTGAAGATACATTAAAAAAAATGCCATTTGGTGATCAAAAAGATCATTAGGCATATGCTTACCAAACAATAAAATCAAATGCTTTGTACAAATTTTAATAATAAGTATAAATTCTGTTTACATGTTTATGGGTTTCTAGAGGTTATTTCGTTTCTAAAACAACTAAGCAACGCGATTGCCTTAAAAAATTCAAGATGTTTCAATAATATCAAAATTAAAAAAAAATCAAAATGATTAAAAAAGTCTTTTTCTTTAAAGTATTTCAAAACATTGCAAATGTGTTCAAATTTTTCTAAAATGTGAAAAAAAATCAAAAGGATTCAAGATTCTCAAAAAATTATTTTTTTCAAAAATTTCAAAAAATATTTATGCATTTAAAAATTCTCAATTACGATACAGAAAATATCAGCATTTTGCTTTAATGCACTTTGCCATGCACCACTGGTTTTAGCAAATTTTATAGCAATAATATAATTCGCAGTTGCACTGGAAGAGATAAGTTTATGCTATCTAGTATGCAATATTCATAAACATGAATTATTTGGCGTTAAAATAAATGCTGAGGTAATAAAATATGGTCCATGTAATGCATTAAAATTTCGTAAGATAAAAGTGAAGTCAGATATTTTTTAAACGCTTATCAACTTGTTCCATAGTCAAATGTGTTGTGACATTGATTTTCTGTAACTTTCTATACAGTATTTGGGCTAAAGAAGAGTTGATAGCCACGAGAAAGAAGTAATAAAAACACCGACCTTCGTTCATGTCAGTCTACATTTCCATCTTATTTTTTTTTCTCATTTTATTCTTCGACATATGGTTCCGCTAGATCTATTAAGATCGTGCATTGTTCAGACATAGCGGTTTGTAAACACCGCGTACTATATGTTAACTGTGGTTAGGAATTACCGAAGCCGAGGTGCGTGATGAAAAAGAACAGATTAAATAAAAAAAACATTCTTAGACATCGGTTATGGCTATAAAATTCAATATCAGTACCTCAAGGCATTACCATTTCACTGATGAATTTTTGTCGCAAATGTCATTAAATTACATTATTGCGAAAGATTCCATTTTATGTCATTTGGACAAACAAGAACCAGTCTTAGAAACCGAAACTGTTTTTCAAAAAACTTTTCTTTGAACTTTCTTTTTTATTTCTTCATTGATTCAACAGTAATCAGGACTACTTAACCTTACATGTCCTACAAGCTGTTTGTTGAATGCTTTACCTAATATTTTATGAGAGGCAACTCATCGGTGTACCATTCTCTTAGTTTTTATATTGGCTCTTACGTGTAATAGCGAAGGCGATTTTCACGTGAAATTATATTAGGATCTATAACCCCAAGTCGAAATTTGACATCAAAGCTGCCTGATGCAGGCTTGGGCCGTGGCAAAAATAAAACAAGCAAACCCGGGACTTTCGCCACCACTGGGCCCTTTTTGGTAATGAAACAATTTTTGGTACCTATTCTCCGATAAAATACATGTTATGGCAACGCTATGTTCATATCTTCATATAAATTGGTATTAATAACTGTCAAACAGCTATGTATTACCTATGCGATCAAGCATTTCAACACATAAAACCTAACCTACAAAACGTCAAATAAAAACTTCATCATAAGTGCATCTTTCTGATGCGTCATTGAAAACATTAAAGTTAGGGGTGTCCATTAATCACGAGATCGACGTTTTAAGGATTTTGGGACTCCTTGGTGATACGTGGTAATATTTGAAATTACCCCTCCTTCCCGCCAATGAAAAATAAATTTATTTATATATCTTCAGGTGAATCCCATACTAAATTTAACACAATAAATAAGGTGATGATAAAAAATACGGTAATATATAATATTCCAACTACAAAGCAGAAATGAAATGTAAAACAATATGTCAAAAACAAGAATAAAAAGAGTGAAAGTTGATGTCTCTGATGTCACAATCATTAACATTTTTTTAACCAGTTATCGCTATACGAAATCATATTTTATAAAATAATAATAAATTAATATTATTTGTATTTAGCTAGTTAAATTTAATTAAATTGGTTTAAAAATATGGCCAAAAAAAATAAACAAAAATTACTAATTAGATGCTATATAAGGTTACTTATATCATATCTGACTATGAATCTAATGTAAATTTTAATTTGTAAAAATTAAATCGCAGGTTGTGAATTAGGTTTTCTTGAATGTTTTCTTTTAATATGTTTAATCAATAATCAATTGTATATAGGTGGAGCAATATGACTTATAAGTTATATCAAAATATAAATGTTATATATTTTAAGTTATAAGTGCTAAATATTTAAAAGCTACAAAATTTGGTCAAAATTTGGTTACCATGTAAAAAATATAAATATTGTAATAGTTAATCGTAAAACACGTAAAACAATGAATACAATTACAACAGTGTTAGATATCAATAAATTTATTCATGGTACAACTATTATTAATTGCGCGTTTATTATAATTTATTAGCCATAAATAAAAGTCAGCGTTAAAGTCGTAAAATCACTTCAAGATATGTGGGATTTGATAATAAAGAAAATATTTGCAATAAAACTGAAACAAGAAAAATTAATCGCGTTGCAAAATGTAATGTAGTGAGGCTTAATCATGAAATAAAAAACAGATCTAAGCATATACTTGTAAAAACCCAATACCATAATAAAGCAAATATATAAGTATTTAACCCTTTCGTGTCATTAGTAGTGCCATTGGCCGAACCCAGGTGCAAAGATATATTTTAGGATAATTCCATCATTATCAATAAAAATACGTTGAAAAATTAAAAATTGCGATTCTAATTAACTAGAAATCACCAATAGTTTAACTCAGTGATAAATCTTAAAATTGAGACCAGCATAAACCATGCCGTCCATGGACGACACCCGTACACACAGCACGTTATGCGGATGTACAATCTTTAAAAATTTATGAAAATTACAAAATATTTAAAATTTTATTGTGGAAATGTAATTATGACTATTTTCCAAGCTTTTATTATAAAATTTTCTTGTATTTATGAAATTAAATATTTCATATAATTCATTTTTTCTCATTCTCTGTGTAACTATAATTTTTTGTATTTGTAAATTTTAGATTTTTCGTTTCTGTATACAAATGTATTACCTCATAATTTGTTTTGATTGCATTTTTATTTTACATGCATTCGATTTTATTAGTATTGTGCATTAAACTTAAGTTTGGTCCAGTTGCACTTACAACAGATATGTAGTTTATTTTATTTCTAATCTTTGGCCGGCAGTGCCTCAGGCCGACTAGACATCCGTTACACATTATTACATGACCTTCATTTATATATTTTGTATATTTTATATGTAGAATACTTTCCCAAATCGAATCGAATGACGAGTCAAAAATGAAAGAAAGATTGAATTTTAAATTTCTTTATAAAAAATGTCCAACTAATTACTTGAATGTATGTAATATAAACAAATTTTGTAGCGGTTTGCTTGAAATTTATTATATTGAAAGAATATGGAAAATAAAATTTTATACTTGAATTATTTAACTAAAAAAAGGCTGATAAGAGTAATTACTATAAAACTTCTATAACTATACAGTAAAATATTATAATATTGTACTATATTGTTTTGATAATACTTGCAACAAATCTTGACTGATGGCAGTCCTAAATAATATAGAATAAAATATTATAACACGCAATTTATGTCTTAAGAAACTATAAATCATCAATTTAACTACTCATTTGCAGGGAAGAGAAATTACTATGAAGCTAGACATATTATTTTATGATTTATGATTAATATAAGGATGAAAGTAATTGAAAGTGTCAACGGTATATATTATACGTTGTTGCATGACAGATTGTAATACTTTTCATACAAAAGATTCTAGTCAAACATATAGTCTTTGTGTTAACCATTTAATCTAAATTCCGCTAAAAAACTTTCTCTGCCATGATATCGCATGTTTGTTAATTATTATTTTTTGAGTTATAAACATTAAATAGAATATTAGTTGTTCCGTGTCATTTTCAATTCATTCGTGAGATAATAAAAAATCATAGTTGCAAAAATTATAGAAAAAAGTTTTAGATTATTATTTTGAAATTTCAAGCTATTGGCTAATTTGATTTTTTAAACTCAGCTTTAAAACAGCAATTAGTACTTGATATATATTATATTTAATAGATTTTTATTATTAGAACTTAAAATTTATCATATAATTAACCCTCCGTCGGTCGGTGTGGTCTGGCCAGACTTTTTTCGACTTCAATTTAAGAAAAATACTTCTAGTAATCCTATCGACTTGAAATTTCTTGACTTTTCCTAAAATTTCATTAGCTGTCGATCAATGAAAAAATCAGGACAAAAAATGTACAGAAGGATAATTATAAGGATATTAACTTTTTTATTCTTCGAACTGTCTAGACCACCCATACATTTTGTATGAAATATACGCTTTTTGATATATGTAAACCAGTATTTTGTCTTTTTTCTAATTTTCTAATTAAACTGCATTTTATTATATATTCTTTGCTATGTGTTGTAACATGAATGTTAGCATTTTCACGACGAGAGTTTCTTGAAAAGCTACCAAACTTATTGGTCATCGAAAACACTGAAAATCGTATGAGTAATGCGCACATTGTCAACAATTTTTCTACCCGTACTTCGAAATTTTTTTTGAAAAACCCGTAGTGAAATTATATTTTCAACTTGAATTTTACAGCTCATTTCAAAGGCGACGCACCTCATTTCGTTTTCATTTGAATTTCACATTCATTTCAAAGGAGCCCAAAAATAATAAATAGTGTTTTTCATTGATATAAAACAGAAAAATAAAAATAATAAAAAAGCAACGATTTTTTTATATTTTTTTATTTTTTTTTTATTTTTTTTTTATAATATAATATAATATATAATTTTTTCTATTATAAGCAAGCTCAACACATGTGAAAGACGGTAAGAAAAAGAAAAAATCAAAACTATAAATATTTATTACTAATAATAGGTAATATATAAGACTACTAAAAACTCATTTACCCCATATAAATGTATGTAAAATGAATGGTGGTCCAGCCAGACCACTCCGACCGTTCGAAGGTGAATAAATATCCGACCGACGGAGGGTTAAAATAATTTGAATTTTGTACTATTATGTAATACAAAACATATTTTTAAAAGCTGGCATATCAGTATACTACTGAAGGGCCTCACCAGGTTACATATATTACAGTTAAGAACATTATTTCTGAAGATTTATAACTTTCATTTTCTCTTTCAGATAATAGGACAAAAGGATGGCTTCTAGTAGACTCGCCGCTTCCAACCCTTTTCTATACCATGATATATTTATTCATAGTATGGATAGGACCAAAAATAATGAAACACAGGCACGCATTCAAACTGACGTGGGCCCTAGTGCCTTATAACCTAGCCATGGCCGTATTGAATGGTTATATCGCAATCCAATTGTTCACTGCCGCTACCAGGCTGAAATACAGCTACGTTTGCGAACCTTGCAGGCAGAACGATGAACATCCAGACGAATTGCAGGTAATGGACAATTGTACGAATAGATTTAGGGGAATACTTTCGGATAAAATAACCCATCGCTACATAGAGTTGTCATGGCAACCCTACGCTCCTTTCTTCATATAGAGGGAAGTCCCGTAACGCCGGACGGCACCAAGGACCGGACACTATATTTAACACGTATTATTTAAGCGAGTATAAATCTTTTCATTTCAAAATACAAGTAAAAGGGGCGCGGGGGGCAAACGGGTGCAGGATCACGCCCCAAGACTCAACTGTGACGCACACGGCCACGGCGGTAGCAAAATGTGCTGTTTTAGGCGCAAAATCACGGCGTCACCTAAATATCAATGGAAGTAATTCTAGCATATTTATGCATTTACATTTGAGTGATATGCAAAGATAAAAGTTATACTTGATTATATATTTGTAAAATGGTAGAATATCATTAGATCTTTTAACCAATTTTAGTTGGTGCCATCAAATGAACGAAAATGTCTGTCCCTTAGTGCCAGACAGTAAACATATCGATATTTCTTGTAAGAATTTACGTAATTTATTCCAAAAATTTAATTTTATTCTTTATGAGTGCTAACGGTCACCCACATTTTTCGTATTTTCTAATCAAAGAATGAGAAGCTTATGAATGCACTAGCTGAGAGCATCTGTGTGGCCCTGCCAAAAGGGTGTATGAATAGTGACTTTTTTTGCAATATCTAAGAATATTTGTCAAACACACATGTGCAGACATTCCAGAGCGTGGAGATGGCTACATATGTGATCAATGTAGGTTATTTTTGAAATGTCCGGTACTAGGTGCCACTGTTTAAAATCATATTTTTTGATAGCAAAGTTTGATTGATAGTATTAATTATTTTTAGCAAAGATTGCGGTTTTGTTAATTTAGTTTGATTTCTAACTTTGTTATCTACCATAAATCAGAATTCAATAAACATTTCGTAAAATATTTTTTGATTTATTTATAAATAACCTTAGATGTCTGCCACCTGTGGACTTTCCCCTAAATTTATAGTAAAAACTGTCAAAATGTTATGTATTTGCTGAGCGATCAGGAATTTTACACATAAAACCTAAGTATATGAATGTGTTATCATGACACATCAGAAATATGCAGTTACTATAACATTGTTTTTTTATATTTGCGCGTTTTCTAGTTTAAGTTTTATATCTAAAACTTCTTCCAAAAATTGATTTCATGGAAAAATTATATTATTTTCATTTAGTTATTTTAACATTATTGTAAAACACGTATTGATTTAAATATCTCATTAAAAAACGTTAAAATTCAACAAAGTTTTTTTGTTTATATGCATGCTCATTTATTGGAAACTTTTTCAATTGTATTCTAATCAACTAATTTGATCTACAAATTTAATTCTCGCCTCCTGCGTCACTGAGTTATTTATTATAACGCCGGAATATTTGTATAAGCTAGATAGCAACTACTGGTAGTATACAAAATCAAAAATGATGTCAAATTAAATTAATGTGCATTTTAAATAACAGCAGCAAAATTTGCGGAAGCAACTTTATGCAAATTGAGATGCATTTACAAAAATATAGCGAACAACATGATTAAGCGAATCGTTTTAAATTTACATCAAAACAATTAAAAGAAGGCAAGACACAATGAGGTTGTCGGTGCAAAAGTATGCATATAAATTTTGAATTGACTTTATATATAATTTCGCAATAAAAAAAAACAATAACTGAACTCATTATTATTGAATTATTCTGTATCGTTACAAACAAGAAAGTTCTGTATAATTATATGAACATATAATTATAAACCACATATCCAAGTTTGTGTCCAAAAACTTGGGTCAACAAAAATGCAAGTCGAGTTTGATCATTTTTTACTGTTCAATTATTCATTATAAAAAGTCATATGTGGTTCCAAAGCACACTTTACATTACAATATATTTAATATATGTTTTGATTAATGATGATTTTGATTAATTAATTAATCAATATTAATATTATTTTTTTTATTCCAGATTGCAAATGCTGTTTGGTGGTATTATTTTTCAAAATTATTAGAATTCTGTGATACATTTTTCTTCATTTTGAGAAAGAAAGATGAACAGCTGACTTTCCTTCATGTGTACCATCATAGTACCATGTTTTCTTTGTGGTGGATCGGTATTAAATGGGTGCCGAGTGGGTCAAGTAAGTTGGAATCAAAATTCAATCAATATTATAATTTTTTTATTTATAATAATTAATTTGGTAAACAATATCAGCATACGAACTAATTTTCAAATCAAGTACGCAAAAATCTTTCGCTTTATAAATTTAAATATACATGAATAATAATAATTTAACCAATTAAAAATTAAATATTTCATCACGATATTTGAAAGTACCACTCCACACTTAAAATCGAATTTATATACAAATTAATTATTTCAAACTTGATTTTAGATTTTTCAAAAATGTGCTAATTATTCCTGCTACTATCATGCTAATAAACACCTCTAACCTACATTTGTAATAAAAAAGCTATTGATTATTCAAAATTTGATTTGATTTGAATCGGATTTGATTTTGATATCTAATATAGAATTCTAATTCGTTTTTTGCATGAATAATATATTAGCGACATTTTTATATACTTATATATACGAGTATTTCAAGTATGTTATTAATTTGAATTAGATGTATGTATCTCATGCAAATTTGAAATTTGAAAATCTGATAAAAATAATCTTGAAATATTTTTTAGAAAAAAATAATTATATAAATCTATAAATTATTCGTTGAGTTTTTAATAAATTTTAGTTTTATTATCAAGAGATATAGTTAAAAAAATCTTATTCCAAAAACTAAGAAACAAGATTTAATCGACAGTTGGGTATTCAGCTGATAATTTTGAAGAAACAGTAGAGCCAAGTTTCGTCAAAATAAATTATATTTATAGTTTCCAATTGATATCGGTTCATAAAATTAAAAAAAACAATTTCTATATTCAAACGATATTAATATTAAATATTCACATCGATTACACAAAACGGACCATGATTTTATTTTCTGAATATTCAAATTACCATTTAAGAGCAAAATGATTAAGAAATAATTTATTAATAAGTTTTGAAATTTATCATTGGTTAATTTCAATATTAGTTATTAATTTTGAATTATTAATTTTTAGCATTCCTACCAGCAATGGTCAACAGTTTCATTCACGTTCTGATGTATTCCTACTATGGTCTGTCTGCCCTCGGACCACAAGTTGCCAAATATCTTTGGTGGAAGAAATACTTGACAATCATGCAATTGGTAAGTAGCAATTACAGCAATATTGCGTTCTGAAGAATTTGTTTAATTAAAAAGATCAATAAATCATTAGAACTAGCACATTTTGATGCAGATGTTGATTAAATTGAAGTATTGAAAAAAAACTTAAAAACATATTACTCATATGCTGTAGAATTAAGGTTCAATAACGCATGCAAAAAATAAAATAAAATTATTGGATTGACTTTGATTTTCTTGAAACATGCAAACCTCTTACAAAAATAGATCATTCAATCCAAAAAAAAATTTGAATGATTTTAGAACAGAGTTACGGTGTAACAAAAACATGTACCTAAGATTGCATTATCAAATATTTTGAATTTCCAGAAATTTATTAATAAATATTGATTTTTCTCCACAGATCCAGTTCACTAGCGCTTTAATTTTGGGTATCAATGGCATTCGTACAGGCTGTGAATTCCCCTTATGGATGCATTACGCTTTAGTTTCCTACATGATTTCCTTCATAATACTTTTCGGCAATTTCTACGTCAAGGCATACATCGAAAAGGTAATTATAAAATTATTATTAAATATGTTTCCAAGTAAAAATAGTCCTGATCCGGCATTGCTGCCCCCTATTACAGAAATTGTAATAATAGTTCATCAAACAGAGATTACATGGGATGATATGAATGGGACTGTTTGCGTTGCCATCTATAAAACCGACTAGTATTTTGTCAATTGTCAGTACATCAACTTACAAGGCTCGTAAGTTCTGGTTGCTGTTCAAAAAATAATTTAAAAAAAAGATTAGGAAACGAAATAACATATGATTAAATACAATATAGTCCAGTCATTTAAGCTTATATTAGGTAAGAATCTCAGAATTCGTCTCTATGGTAGGGTGACAATACCATATGTAGGTTTTGAGACAACTTTAAGGTGTCAATATATAAGAATTTACAGCTGGGTATCTAGAATTCCGATGTTAACTTACTATAATTACTGGACTAATACGTTTTTTAGATCCATTAAATAAGATCAATTAAATAAACAAGCACAGAGCCTAAAATTCGATTTTTTAAAGCAAATAATGATTGGTTAGTCTATGGTCTTTAATTCAAAAGGAAGTTTTCTTCTCTGAAAGCTTGATGTCAATCGAATGATTTGTTACAAAGTAACATCGGCTTTTGCTCGAAAATATAAATAGCAATATATTTCCAAGTGGTAATAGCCCTTGCCCAATATTGCTGCAACCAATAAGACTTCATCAGCATTAGAATTTCTAATAATAAATCGTTCAAATATAGAATGGACAACCATTGGGTTGCCATCTATAAGGCCACATAATATGTAATCATCACAACAACCCTTAGGACTCGTTAAGTATAGATTGCTGTTAATAAAATATCGAAAAAAATATTAAAGCAATTTATTGAGTGAAGATTAATTATCGATATACTTTATAGTATAATATTTGTTGTTAATAAGTTGTTAATAATAATATTTTCGTTGCTAAAAAGAAATAAAATTAATTGAAATTAGTGTGCTCGTAGTTAGATCAGCCAAATATTATATTTTTAACTTCCCGAAAGGGAAGTTTGTGTTGGTGCAAAAAATGCGATTTGTTAATTTGATGTTTTCTCGACGTTTCAAGTCATTCTGAATCCGATAGTGAATCCGTAGGTGAGTGAAATTTTATCGACGATTTCTCAAAAACGGCTAGACATTTCGTCGACGTTTTCTCAAAAATGACTGGATCCACTTTATAAATTTTCCCAAAAATTCGAGAACTCTTCCAAAGATATTGGTTGGGATTTTCGTTGATTCGTTTTTGGTAAAGATCGGCCGGGCTGTTTCTTCGTAATTTTTTTTTTTTTAAATGTGACGTTTTCGATTAAACTTTGTGTGGCGATAGATTACGCAGTATGAAATAACATACTTTATATAATATAAGACCTATGATAAGCAATTGGCTTATAAAAATTCACCAAAGTTCAGAATTCCAATGATTCTAATCAGAATCTTTCACGAGCTTGAACGATTCTAATAAGAATCTTTTTACGAACTTGAAGGATTCTAATCAGAATCTGTGCCGAAGAGCATATGTACATTTTTCGGTTTTACATAGACATTTACTAATTACAGTTGACGTCTAGACTTGAATGAAATAAATGTGTAGAACACTAAGTAGAAGGTGTTAAACAAACTAATTCAATTTATACAATTACAGATGATATTATGTGTATTCGAAAATAATTGGAAATTGTATTGATTATTTTTTTATTGAAAGCGAAAATGTTATTTTCGAAATGAAGAGTTGAACATTTGATCTAAATAGCTGAATTTCAATTCTTATTGATTAGGTTGATTATGCATACTTATCGGGAAATTCATGCAACTTGCCTTAAGGCAAAATTTTACTTACAACTCTGATTTTTATGTAATCGTTTCATTTATGTTAAAAAATAACAGGATCGAAACTATTACATAAAAACCCTGATTTGTAAATACGATCATTTATTTATAGAATTCTAGCCGTATAAAATTTTGAACTGCACTTTTCTGTTATGCCCTTTTAGGACTTCGATTGAAACTATTAAGTATGATTTGTTCAAAAATCGTTCTTAAATAATTCCAAGGCTACGGTCCATCTTTGTTTGCTTGGCAAAACTTGAACAAATTAATTAATCAAAAACTTATATTAATTTCAGGGAAAACGAGACAGAAAAACAGCAAACGGAGTGAAAGCAGTCGGCAACGGCACGGCAAAGAAAGAGTCAAACGGATACCACAAAAAGATTCACTAATGGAGAAATATTTATTTATTAATTAGGCTAGGAATATTTGAAATTGTAATAATTAAATTAAAAATGAAGGTTATTGAAGTCGATAAATAAAACGTGTTTCAAAGATCTGTGTTAACTAATTGCATCAATTAATTCTACGTAGTTTTAGCGCAGAATGTACCAGAGACCATACATGTAGAATATATAGAATTAAGAAATTGCTTATATACTTTTATACATGTCTTATATCTGTAAATGTGTCATTTGCATAGTCAACTAAAACTTAATGTTTTGTGTAAAGTTTTCTTTGTTAATTAATATAATATTTATTTTGTTTAAGTTGTTAATTTTGTTGTTACCGATACAAATTTATTTGTTGATTAATTACATATTTTATGCGCTCAGGGTTTGTAAATACTTTTGATTTCTTTCATGTTGATTACAAAAACTAATTATGTAATAGCAGATTTATACAGAAATGTATTTTCAAAATTGTTACTTAAATATAATTTCAGAAAATTTATGCTATTTTATTACCACCTATAAAAAATGTATAACAAATTTAACTAACTTCGGTTTCAGAATATTTTGTCATACCTTAGAAAACATGGATGTATGTGTGTGTGTGTGTGTGCGGATACGAATTTCCGTCGACGATTTCGGGAACACTGATCAACCGATTTGAATAATTCAAAAAACATTCGATTCGTATTGATAAGGAGACGTGCTGATTAGTTTTTGGCGAAGGCAGGTCTACCCGTTCCGAAGATACGGGGCAAAAAAATCCAAAAACAATAACTCAGTTTTTAAGAGAACGGAGCGTCTGATTTAAATAATTCAAAAAGCATTTTACTTGTATTGACAATATAAAGAACTTTTTGAGAAAAGAAATTTTTGGGAAGGCAGATCCAGCGGTTATGGACTCTTAATAGAAATGAGTTATTTGGCGGTCAAAAATGTTTATTGGACATATGTACATCAAATTATCAGACATTTTATAGAGATTTGAATAATGTGTACACATTTTGTGTATTTTTTTTTGGTACTAAGATTTTTAATTACAGTACGGAAAGTTCCAGCAATTTGCCTTAAGGCGCGATGCCATGCACCCCACTAGTTTTACAATATTTTATTGGTTCCGCGGATTCAAATTTCAATTTAAATTTTTGTTAACTAAAAATTACGCATAGGATTTGACAATAAAAACATATATCAATCAAAATAAATGTATAGAAAGGATTAACTTCAAATGTCAGATAGACTAAAATAACTAAGCACTAATATAAAAACAATCAATTATTTTTGTACATGCATTTTCAATAATCAAACAAATAAGCCAAGTAATAAAAAATTACTTACCAAACAAAGTTGGAATATCATTGTTTTCAAAAATCACGAACGAGTTTGAACTTTGATTAAAACACACAGTATTTTTTAACGATTAAAAACTTTTTACAAATTATATAAGCATAATGTCTTTCAACACATTTTATTAAAAAATACAATGTGCAAAACAGTTTGCAAAATTATCACACTACTAAAAAAAGAAATGACTACTTTCTCTTTCAAATTCATAAACTTTGTGAATCAAGAATTAACATTTCCGGAAAAATTATGGTGAGTGATGAATTATGTCAACGTGCTTTATTTTAAAAATAATAACAAAACTATGAACTTTCACGATACATTAAGACACTTTATAAAATAACGCACAAGGAAAGTAAAAATGTAACATAATTGAAAACTGATTTACACAATAGAAAAACGATTAATATTTCAATCAATCATGGCTATCAATATAGTGAAGTTGTCAGCATTAAGTCCATCTCATTTTGACCAACATTAAGGACTGTATTTTTCCAACATTTCATTTAAAATATCAAACATTTTGCCATTTAGACATAACAATTCCTTAAAAAAGAAATGATTGCAAATTAAAGCAGTGTTTGTATGATTTCTATTTCAGCTTCATATTAGTCTAATACAGTGGTTCCCAACCTTTTCGTACTGCTTCCCGCTCCCTGTTTTTTTTTTAAACATTGTTGAGCTTCTCTCATTTTTTTTAATAATATAATTTCATCAATACAACTGATATTATAATTTATTTATCAGGCTGCGAATTAATATATAGTATTCTGTGAGAATAAAAAATGGGGGAGTGGAGGGGTGCTCCACTGGTTGGAAATCATGGGTATATTAGTTAACATAATACTTTAATTTTTTAACTTCTTGATAAATATTAACTTCTGAAAATTGTTATCAACAATGATTTTAAAATTTTACCCACCACAACCTTTCTGACAGTTTATTAAATTAAATTGCAAACTTTTAATTACAAACTATTTCCAACTTGTAATTTATCTTCACTTTCAAGTATTCTTAGATTTTGGAGAAAAGTTTTGGGTTTCTGAACCATGAAGTCAATCAGCATGAATAAGCCATAAAAATTATTTCATAATAGGAATAAACAACAATATGTATTTAATAAATATGTAATATATAGTTGATATTTGAATTCATGTACATTCAATCTATGCTAACATATATTCCGGAACAAGTTTCAACAAATTGAATAATGGAGTTACAAATTATTACCTTTGAAAACTAAAATCTGTGTTCAGTAAAAACTTTGTGCAATTGTATTCAAAGTTTATAAAGATTTATATAAAACTAATAATTAAAAGAATTATAAAAATATGACAACTTAAACTATGCTGTAATTAACCTGCCAAACTATGGTAATGTTAAAATTGCAGTAAAGAATATAAATATAGCATATTCAAAGAAGTTGATATTTGACAAATAAATATGTGTCATGTGCTTACATTATATTCTATCTACTCACACAAGAAGTGCAAATTCTGATTTCAATATCACAATTTTAAATTGTTGCTCTATTTCAAACATGTGTCTTTGATTTGGATTTTTAATTAGCACATTTTGTGCAATTGAATATAAGCAAACTTAAAATAGTTAAACTAGGATTCATACTCCAAAATGAATTCTATAGTTTGAAAGCACTTCTTCAATTAACTAGGAATATTATACTTGCATCCTAAGACTAAAGGAGAGTTTGGTGTTCTAGTAGATCTTCGATTTCTGTAAGTACTCGGTGGTGTATCTCCTGAGTATATTCCATTTTGAGCTACCAGGCCCCCATCGTTGGGTAATTTTGAAAGCTTCGCTTCCATATTTCCAACTTTCCTCAGCAGATCACCAACAATATTCATTGCAATTATCCTGCCACCGGATGTTAGTCCGTTACCATTGATATTTGATGGTTGATTTTTCACTGATGTCTGGTTGTCCACTGTCTGTGTTTCCATTTCACAATGTAGTCTATTGGAATCTAGAGATAAGTTCATATAAGAATTACTGTAACCATTCATCAAACTTTTGTCACCATCCTTGACTTTTATTTTCAGTTCTTGTTGTAAGTCTCTAGCTTCATCGCGCATACGTTGTAACTGGACTTGCAAATTTTCTTTTTCACCAACTTCGTTTTCTAGCAATGCATTTTTCTCATAGGCTTTATTTAAAAGATCCTCAAATGTAGCAACGCTTTCTGTTACATTTCTATGAGCTCTTTCAAGGTCATCATTTTTTTGTTCCAGTTCCCTAATATAAATTAATAATTTTTCTTTCTCTGATGATAATGCATTGCAATTAATTTCTAGTGAGCAGTTCTCTTTATCGAGCTTTTCTAACTTATTCTTCGAAGATTCCAATTCTGCTTGTAAATTCCTAATTGTTAATCTCAAGTCTCTTATTACATTTTCTGATTGTTCAAGAGAAGCTTCCAATTCACACTCTAATTGTCTAGATTCTTCTGAAAAATCCTCTAATTCTTGTTGAGCATCAGTTTTCTCTTGTAAATATTTATTGGCTAAATCTTTCCAATATGCTATTTCTTGATCTTTATTTGCAAGCTGTGGAACATCCATGACTTCTAATAATAAGTATCAAATTAGCCAATATACATTTTATCTTCACAATGTAGCAACTACTTATAATTTACTATTTTCAAGAATTTCACAAATACTACTGACAGCAAAGAGACAGCTTCAGGTCATCTATCAAGAACATTGTCACAATTAGAAGATAAAGTACAAAACTAATATTATAAAATAAAGGAATATATTTTATATAAATCAATATCAAGATAGAAACTGTTTTTAAATCCCTCCTTTTTAATTATTGCCAGTTTATATATGTACAATGATGTCGAATATAAATAGTCACTGGACAAGTGACAAAATTTTCACACTTCAACTACTTTGAGTATCATTTACCTTAATTATTTATAAAAACTTAATTATATACAACTGTAGTATTTACCTTATAAAAAATGAAACTCATCAAGGAAATAAAACGATTTCTAATTGTAACCTCTAAATGCCAAACAAATCGCAAGCGTAGAAATGTCAAAAACTAACAATAGCCAACAAAAGCAGCAAAATCTGTTGAACAAGTTTTGCGACAACTCTTGACAGAAGAGAACTGGAAAGAGCTGCTTATTGACGTGGAGTCGTTTAAATTTTTGACATAACTACAAATAGATAAAATGTAAATCTGCTGATTTGATGTAATAATCAAATCAATTAAGAAATGTGAAACTATTTTTATTTATAAAATTCTCACATAACCTATTATATTTTTCTTATGAATCTATTTAATATTATTTTGATTAAACATGTTTATATAAAACTGAACAATAGTGTTTTAAATTATATTGTAAACATAGTTCTGAAATCGTAAAGAATGGCATTAGTTCATATAATGTCGCCCAGAAGTTTAGACTTCACGAAAGTGCTCTGCAAACGCGGAGCACTTTCAGCACAAATGTTGCAGTCTAAGGTAAACTTATTATAAAATCATAATTATTCAATCCCAATACTAAAAAATTTCAATTTTAGTCAAATGTTATAACTCGAAAATTCAGCCTTCTTATTTCTCAACACGGCCAGAATTTAAGGGTTTACCCCTTTCAATGGAACAAAATTCCTGGAGTACTAAAATTA